AGAAACTTGAAACATGCTATTGACCCCTTTCACTATTCACATTTTGAGAGCATTGCACTAAACATTACTCTGTAAAGCAATTTAAGCAAATATAATTAAGAATTTCGGCTTGAATGATTAAAGGAAAGTATGTCTCCTCTTTTCTCAGTATGCTAAGAGTATTGAACAGAGCTGTGACTGAAAATTGAGCGTGTCTTAAAAACAAACCCCAAGGCTAAGTGAAAGTCAGTTTATAGACATTTGGGAATTTGATTTATTCACATCTTCTCATCAGTTTAAAAAGATCTGTGCTAATATTTTTGTAAAGTAAAATAATAATAGAAAAAAATACCCTGCAACTAATTTCAGAGTGCATAAGAGAGAAAATCTAAAATGTCTTGCAGAGTGCTGGCTACCCTAATAAATTACTTGTGTTACTTTTAAGATATAGTCAGAAAGTCATTTGACATCCAGATGTGCACCCAAATTATTGGCTTAGAATGCCAACCAGTTCAGGTTTTATTGCTCATAATGTTGTTGGGTTTTTTTTTCCCTTGCAAGTCATGCTACTCAATCAGTTCATTAATCATACATATACCTTAAATAACATTAATATCTTGTGTTTTATAATGTTAACCCCAAAATACAGTGCTAATCACAAGATATGGAGGCTTTGGAGAATGCTGTATACTCTCATATATCCAGCTTCTGTATTTACGGAATGGAGTGGTGATGAGTTCATGTGGGCATGAACTCAAAGTGAAGTAAAACAAAGCTGATGAATTAGTAGTGTGAGACTTTAAAATCTGCTTTTAGAAGAATATACTTAACCAATGAGGTTATGAACAGACTCTCTAACTGATCTCACAAATGACCAAACTAGAAATGTGCACAGCATAACTGTGCACACGAAGGGTCATACAGTGGTTGTATCATGACTGAAAACTGTTGGTAGGTACATTACACAAAATTGGTGCTATCTGGCTTTCTCTTACATTTGTCACAATTTCAGCACAGAAACTGTTGGCTGCAGGTGCTGCAAAATACAGTCTATGCATTGTGGAATTGCACAGAAGTTCCTGGGACACAGGAGGAACTTGCTGTCTACCCACTTATTAAGGAGTTTTCTCTCTTGCTATATATTTAGCAAAAAGACAAGAAAAAAAGTTATGGAACCTTTCACAGTTATTAAAAAAAAATCAGTTTAGAGGTGGTTTGCACTTAAGAAAAATATTGTTTCTTTTCAGTGTTAAAATGTTAAAATGGCTTAATATCTAAATGGAATGCTGTAATCAATATTTTAATTCCCATTCCATAGTTTCTAATGCATGTCACTGTGGTAGTGGAATACAATTCTCATCCATTATAACAAATGTATTTCCCATGATTACTGCACTGTGAAGGCAGGACAAAAAACTTGTTCGGTTTGTTTATGAGACTAACATTGGGAAGTTTATATCCTTTCTTGGACACCAAGAAATGTTTTTCAGTGGCATTATCAGTTTTCTACAAAGCATCTCTTAAAGCGAGGAGGTGTTTTGTTCCTACAGTTCTTGGCTTCTTTGTACCAAAACTGCTGTCTTGTTTAATGACATTGCTATGTGGGCTGAAATTAGGCTGACAGATTGTGAGCAAAGGCTGTGATATTACAAACAATAGTCTATTGAGCTTGAGGAACTTGTTGAATTAGTTACCGAAGGCATTAGTGCTCAGTGCTCTTTAGCATCTGGAAGACAGAGAAGAAATAGTGGGCTAATGAAATGTCCAAATGACACCCAACTGCAAAGGGCTGCAGGTGACAATGGCAGCTGACGTGTGCCTGGTAAGAGGCAAAAACTAATAATGAACTAATAAACTCACAAAAGGAAAAAATAGTGCATTCAGAGGGAAGGGAGTATTCAAATCAAGAGAGAAAACCATGTTGGAGTTCCTGAGGAATAAAGCACCCAAATGATTAAATTTTAAGGGCTCTGCTGGATTTGAGATGGGTTTTCCAGAGCAGATTGGATGGCAGTGGCTCCAGCACATCAGCTCTTCACCATCCGTGATTCCCCTGACATCACTACAATTCTCCAGTGCTAGTTTATGGATCCTGAGGACTCTCTAGAGCAGTTCTGAGAGGGTCATCTGTTCCCCATCCAGTTCAGGTTAGCTTGATGTTGAAAAAGAAACTGAAATGTGCACAAGGTCAAAATCAAGATCTCATTTTCCTCTGTTTTAATTATTCACTTAACAATCTTTTAGTTTCTTATGCCTTGCAGTACAAGTTTTTAATGGTCTTTGAACTTTAAATATGAATTTAATTGCTTCCATGTCCTTATTTGGAAGTAATTCCATCAAAATTTGCACCTCTGCTCTATGCTGCAGATAACTTAATCCATATCTGGAATTGCTGGGATAGCTGGGAGGCATGTATTAGTTTATTAGTTTATTGCGAGATGGACCAAGCCCCCCATCTGTGTTCACCCAGCCTGCTGCCTTAACCCGAGAGAATCTGCCAGGATCACATGCTCAGGCTGGAGTGAATCCACACAGCAAACTTGGTCCAAAGACATCTAAATCTGTGACCTGTAATGCAACTGGAATCTAAACTTCAAGGATGAATACCTTGGACTACCTAAATCCTGAAATATCCAAGGAATATTATTAGCCCAGCTATATCATTTATGCATGATGTTTAATGAAAAAATACAGCAAAACGAAGTCAGTTAATTAAAGGTATTACAATGCAATAGCTTGGTTTTACCATTTTTATTTACTTTGGATAATAATCTGTAGGAAATTGTAGTTTATGCTAAGATTTGAGTTCAGGTGTCTAAGGGATGGGTCTGACCCCTGTGGCAGAATATGCACTTAGATGTGTTGGGGACTTCAGCTGAAGCCAGGAGCTGTGGTGGGTTGGCTTTGCCCACCCAGTGCTCACTCACTCCCTCCTCACCAGGACAGAGGTGAAAATAAGGGGAAAAATCTCGTGGGTCGAGGTGCAAACAGGGAGGGCACTCAACAATGGGCTGCACAGGCAAAACAAGTAAATTCAAGTAAAATTCAAGGAGAAATTAAAACAGTGCCTTCTCCCTGCCCTTCCCAGTTTCCCAGGATCAGCTTCCCCACTCAAGGAGGGGTGCAAGGGGCTGAAGGCTGATCCTTCCTCACTCCCCTGCTCCACCTTTCCTGCCTTTCCCTTCCCAGGGCTGCAGTCCTGCCAGGAGCACCTGCTCCAGCCTCTCCCCACAGGACACAGTGGAGTCTCTGTGCTGGCTCCCAGAGCATCCCCTTCCCTCCTCCTCCTCCTCCTCCTCACCCCCCAGTTCTCCTCAGGCTGCCTTGCCCCTCTGCCTGTGTAGGATTTTGCCCTTCACTGGACCCATTTTCACCCCCTGGGCTGAGGGGCTGGGCTGTGCCATGGGTGAGGCCATTCTGGAGCCGTCTGGGAATGTGAAGGACAGGCTGGAATGGGCAGGGGCAGCGCAGCCTCTCCCAGAGCCGCGGCTGCAGCCCCACTGCTGGCACCTGGGCACCCACCATGGCAGGTGACTTTATGTTTGCCACAGGTGTTCTGGCTCCCCAACAGAGCTGTTTTTTCAAATATTTCCAATGCCAAGTGTCTCCTTGAGGCGAGCCCTCAGGAACAGATTGAGAGCGTGGAGCAGAGGGAAGCAGTAGAGAGAATTTTCTTCTGAAAAGAAGGATGTGGGTAGGAAAGTAGAGGATAACATTAAAAATAGAGAAGATTAAACATGTTAGTAAAGCCAGAAACAATTTAGGATAAGGTAGAAATCCTGGAACTGTATTGATAAACAGAATTAAAAATGTCTTTTTCCTGCTTCTTTTCCAGCCCAGAGCAGCAGATCAGCTGAATTTTGCTGCTCGTGCTGGTATTGAGCAATGTGTTGCCAGAGAACAGTCCTATTGACTGCAGTGGGACTTGCTGAGGAGGGAATTGTTTAGCTCAAATAACCTTATAAATACACATTAGAACCCAACGGTATATTTCCAACCCAAAAATATATATCGAACCCCCAAAATATATTTGAAACCCTAAACCCAGGTTTTCAGTGCTACTTTTTAGAAAGAAATATAATTTAGCTAAAACATGGCCCTGTCTTACAAGACCTGATGAGATGGGTTTTGGATTAGATCAGGAAAATGCAAAGTCTTATTTTTGTAGTGTATAAATGGAATGGACAGTCTAAACCCTGCCTCTAAAAATCTTGGCACACTTCAGAGGAAAAATGCCATTTTAGCAATTTAAAAGCACTTAGTGGGTTTTCCCAGTGCTGAACTTCATTTCTATAGCCAGTGTGGTTGCCTGCTGAATAATGCCATAGGGGACAATGTAGCTCTGACTATATTTAAAAATACTATTCCATGAAATTCACTAGGAACAAGCTGAAGCAAAATCTCATTTGTGTCTTTGGAATGAGGTGATAGTGGCTGTAAATGGTGAAGGAAAAGGGTTGAGATGGTTTTTGAATCACAGAGGAGATAAAGGCAAGACCATCTGTGGGGAGAGAGGGATGCTTAGAGCAACAGCCAGAGGGGCCAAGCAGAAATCTGGAGACTCTTTAATGTTACAGGGACTTGAACAAGAGCAGCAATTGGAAAGAAAAAAATCCTAACAGGTGGGGACTAAAAGATGTGCAGAGACATCATTAGAAAAGTGAAAAAAAGAAAAAAAGGGAAACAATTAAAAGGATGTTAGGACGCATAATTGGAATATATAGATAAGATGAGACAAAAGGTCAATTTGATTGAATAATAAAAATCTGTGTTGTCTTATTTTTGGTGTATTCATATGCATGTAGCTTACTGCTATATATTTTATTTTATGACTACAATTAAGCCTTTAAAAATAATTGTGAACTACCTATAAAAATTAACTCTGAACTGTTGTTAGGCCTGTTATACTTGCATATTTTAACCAACAGCAGTGGAAGTTTTAAAATCTTTTGTCAGTGTTGTTCCTGGAGAGTTGATCAGCCATTCATTAAAACACATCCTGTTCTGTCTGTTCTTGGTAGGGAACCTTGGGCGGGTTGACCACATCACAGAGTTTGAGTATGACCTTTTCATCAGGCCAGACACCTGCAACCCACGCTTCCGAGTCTGGTTCAACTTCACTGTGGAAAACGTGAAGGAGTCACAGGTAAGTGACAATAAATTAAATGGTATGGTAGCTTCAAAAATTGAGTTTGCAACTCAAAATTTTCTTTGAAATGTATCTTTGTTCTTTGAATTTTTATAAATAAAAGCAAGTATCAGCAGGAGTGGGTATGACCATGCTTTTCAGCTATCCAAGAGAGGAAGTAATTGCAAAGAAAATGTAATTTTTGCTAACAGAACTGGTATTTATAATGGTTGCCATGTATTTGTGCTTTTGCACTCCGACCAAATATGTGTGTTAATATGTGGAAAAGAAGTCCATCATGGATGTTCAAATATTATCACTCAAGCCTTCATTTAATGCATGTAGAACAATGGGGTAGCTTTGCAAACAGGCATTTCCCTCCTGACTTGTGGCACAGGAGTTGCTTTGCCAACGTGTCCCTTGTGAAAAAGGAGTTTTAAATGTGAAGCAAATTGATAGGCAACTGTTTCACTTACTTTTAAATAATATTTTTGCAGTAAAGATACCTCTTAAGAAAGAAACTTCCTTGCTCTATTTTTTCACTTGTATACTTATAAAAGTTACATACTAACTTTCACATTGAAGAAAAAGGAAAAAAACCTCATTTCACTTTTCACATGCACCTTGAATTTTGTTCTGGTGGCCTGCCTTAGTTAATCAGAATCAGTCTGTCGTTTTTACTTAATGGAAATAAAACATATTTAGTAAGAGAAAAAAAAAACTGCAGAAGCTTGATATTTGTACTCCTGCGAGACTAATATCTTAATATCCAGCACTGTATCATTCCTGTTACAACTGGAAATCATGAAATTGTTTATCTATCGTCCTGGAGCCTGATACTTTATCAGACAGACCCTTTCCCCTGCTGTGCCTTACTCAGCTATGATCAAATTATATAGTCATGAGATGAATGGGAATCTGTCTCAAGGAGGCAAAGAGATCGGGTAGAAAGATACAATATATATCTAGTGCTTACAGGATATTTGTTTTCATGGTTGTCTACATGAAAGAGAATGGTTCCACTATTAACTTTGACTTGTGAGGTCTGTTTTTATAATGTGTGCTCCTATAATCTTTTTCTCATCTCTCCAATTTCCGTTAAAATGAGACCTGCCTGGACGTAATCTAGTCTGGAACCTTTTTTAGGTCTTTGTACTACAGGCCATGGGCAGCATTAGTCATTGCAGCTCAGCTATATTAAATGAAAGTTAGAAGTTGCTACATCAAACATACTGTGTAATATAATCTATTTTCTGCATTTTGATTATTTTATTTTATGTTTTACTAGAAGATAGTAACAAGGAAGCCCAAACTAGTCAGTATTACTTCAAAATGTTGCACTAATACAAATATAGAGGACCTTTGGCCACATTAAGTATAGAAGTAGATATTTTAATAGCTCTCTATAAATCGTTACCTGGATAATATTGTATTTATTTTTGAGGTATCATATAAGTAATTTGTGAAGAAGGCACATCTATATGTTTATATTTATTAAGTCTGGTTTCAGCCAGTTGGATAATGACTCACAAAGAGTAGCTACTTTTGTTTTTATATTATCTGTTAGTGCAGTATTTAGTGTTATTAATCTACTGGTAAATGAAAAGAAAGACCAGTTATACATTCCAGCCAATCTTACCATCCATGCATTATTGTTCTGTAAGAAAACAGGTTCTTTGAATTCTGGTTTTAATTTTCTTAAGTCATGGAGCTTCCACTTCCTATGTCTCAAAACTGTTTTATAGACTCCTCTCACTTACAGTAGTGTTGCTTGATTTTTAGCCTAAAGCTTTCCTTTATTTAATCCCACAATTCCCAGTTGCAATTCTGCTTAGTAATAACTCCTCTTGGTGCAAATAAATCCTCATCATCCCTGACTAACATTTATATTTCTGTAAATTATAACATTCCTCATCATTTGTGTCTCTACCTAGCTATCATGTTTGGTTCTTTCAGCCCTATATCCCATAGACCACTTTACCTTTTAAGTATTTTTCCGCTTTGGGGCCTTTGGACTTTCATCATAAGTGAATCTTTCAGTCCTTTGATAATTAGCTCAGTTTCCCAAGGAAGCAAAGCTCGTATGATCACAGCCTACTTGCTAGCCTAGGTTTTGTGTGGCTGCTGTTCCCTCTCCTCTCTTTTCTCCTTCAATAGCTTCTTAACTCTTGGCCAGTTTCAGCACCACTGGACAGGAATTCCTGTAAGTTTTGGGGAAACAGGCTGCCAGATGGGCAAGAGACCCATTAGTGTTCCCACTGGCAGACAGGCTATAGTATGAGATCATTTCTTATTAAACATCAGAGAATCCACAGAGGAGATGAATAGGAGAAAGTACTCATTGGAATTTGCATTTTTAAGATACCAGACAATCCAACCATGAAATCCAAATCCATAGCATTTAGTAATTTTGCTTCTTGCAGAACTTCTTGTTTTTATTATTATTCTTCCTCTTCCAGTTCCTTCAATATTTTCTTTATAGTGCGGAACTAAAATTTAATGGATAATTCTGAGTATGCTAATCCCAATTTACAGAGAAGGGGCTTGAGTCCCTTTGCTCTGTTACTGCCTCACTATAGACAGCTGGAAATTGCAGCAGCCTTTTGTTGCTGTATCACTATGGAAACTCAGGCCTAATTTGTTTTTCCCTATCATACAGAAGTCTTTTTCAGAGTGATTGCTTCCTTGCTCCTGTTACGTATATCTGAGGTTACTGTTGTGCTTCATAGGTAATAGAGCTAAGCTCTGTACCATGCCAGTGACAGCCCTAATATTTCCAGAATTATTTTTATTTGGTTTATTTGATGTTCACTTCCCGATGTTGAAGTAGAACCAACAGGTTTTTTTTTAATTTGGAAGCTGGTAAATTAATTTCTTCCTCCTTATGATTTGGACTTCTACATCAGACATTTTATGTTGTCAGTTTTCTACTTTTTTTAACAAGGAAAAAAGATTTAAAAAAAATAGCTAATCCTTATATTTATGGGAGGAAATGAATCAGCATGTAAGATACCTGCAAGATGTAAAATTTGGTCTTTTGGTCTCCTTATATGGTTTCTGTCTTGCAGGTCAGTTGGTCTGAAAAGATCTGAGCTATGATTTTTTTTGTCTCTTCTTTGGTGAATTCAATTAACACCAATATTGGAAAAGAAAAAAACGAAACTGATTTGTTATATGTAAGGAAAACACATGGACTTTTATGATTTGCACATATCCATGAAAGGGAGAGTGAAGGAAATAGGATTTGCTGTGGAACACATGGTCTCATGGGCAAAGCCTCCAATTTCTCTAATTATATACATGTCACAGGCTGCTCTCTATTCCTGATAATGCTCTTTGCTGGGCAGGGTTTGCTTCCTATCCACTTCAGCCATGGCCCTTAAAACACCATCTACGATTTTGCTAAATTTCTTCTCTCTGCAGTCGGAAATTGGATGAACAAATTTCATCTCCCAATTGCATTTCAAGTATTTTAAATACACAGTGCTTCAGGTTCAAGATTACCTCTGAGCTAGAATGGCTGTAATGCTATTATTAACAACAGTGATTCATTTTAACTTTTTGGGAAAAAAAAGCAGTGTATATGTGTGATAAATTATAAAAAATATGCTGGTGTACCAATATTGGAGGATTTTGCAGGTGAAAATAATGATTATTGTTTTTTAGGGCCGTAGCCAGAAATTCTTCTCAAGTGCTTGACATTCACTGTTCCAGATACTGTAACCACACTGGAAATAAATGATCTTTGTCCCGAAAAATTTATTTTTAAGCAATTTGAGAAGAGATAAGAGTTAAATACAGGAAAGCAATGAAAGGATTAAAAATATTTGAGGATTTTTGATTTAACATGCAACAGCCATATTATACCCCTAAGCAATGCACATCTAGGCCTCATGACAAATTCTGTGTGTGTGTACCCTGAGCAGCTCTGCTGTCTGATGAATCATGTGGAGAAATGGTATTTTCACTGAGATTAAAAAAAGAATTTCCAACAGAAGGGGTTTCCTAATAGTGCCAAATTTTGTTCTGTAAGTGTTGATAAACACATTTGGAGTTCGTCATCACAAAGGTACTGACAAAATATACCAAGAAGGATAGAGGAGAATGGATATTTGGCAGCTAGGACTTGATCATTACTTACAGTTAATAAATCAATCCAGATTGAGGTTAAAATCAAAGAACCAAATGTTATTTACTTCAAAGACATTCTCTCTGTTACTTCAGTTGCTGTTGCACTGAAACTAGAATTTTGACTCATGAAGTTTTTTTTGGTTTTTTTAATGTGTGAGTATGGATCAGGAAAAAGGATAGCCTGTTTTTCAGAAATTTAAACAGGATGCCCAGGTAAGACTGAGATTATCATAGCTGGACATTATTATGAATGCATGGAACTGTCATTTTCTGTTTTTTTGTTCTACACTGTTTTGTAAAACATAAAAGGCTATAAGGTCTCTATTTTCTTTAATTGATTAGATATTCAGGAAATATTTGTTATTGACAGTGGATTTTACAATATGTTCAGGCATGTTTTTACTCTCCTAAAACAAGTCAATGATCCTTAGCAGACAATGGCTTCTTTATGATGATACAGCTGTGATTATTTAAAGATACGAGTGGTACATGTATAGGGAAAGATAATGTCTCTCTTTATACCATCTGATACATTTTGGAGAGGCAGGGGGAAAAAAAGAAAAGCAGGCATAATTTGAGGTACTCAACCTTTTTTTCTGACCTAAGAACTCGTTCTGTGCAGTTAATTCCTGCATCTAAAGTAAGATGGAGTGAATATGACATCAAAAGCAGGCTAAAGTTGGAAACAGGTTACCTTTTTACTTTCTTCTTCTTAAGCAGACATGCTCTGCTCTTCGGTCATTTGGGGATTTAAGTTGCTGGTATCAAGATGCTTTACAATGTCTTAGACTCCTTCCAGCTTCTCAATTGAGAAGAGAGATATTTTCTTAACTGTGCATTAAAGACTATATGGCATTTACCTAGCTTTGGAAAATGAATATGTAGAA